AGCTGCTAGAAGAATATAGCAGTATTACTAGAGACGAAGATCCTACAAAATCTTGAGTTGAAGCCTCAACAGCATCTTCAACCTTAATTAATAGCATGATAACTATAATTAAACAGAAAACAAACAACATAACTCCTGCCTCAGGTAGAGTTAAGATTAAATCTCCAATCCCACAACACAAACGAATCTCACCTCAAAACCTGCTGAATCATACTGGCGGCGTTTCTCAGGATCAGACAAGATGTTGTAGGAAAACGTGACCTCCTTAAACATATCAGCTGCAATCGGGTCATTCGCAGTCTTATCAGGATGATACCTGACACACCAAACATAAATTCAGGAACAACACAGAGATAGTAGGACGAGTACTAGATGCTTGTGCAGAGAATTTGTATATCTCCAAATGAGAATTAGCCTAGACCAAACCATAACACTCCCTTATGATAATCCAGTTAAATTCAATTAAAGATTCATCTCTGTAAACCTAAATTGATTCAATTCAAGATTCCTCTTCATCAGCCTAAACCCTAGATTAATCCGAGCTTTTCGAATTACAAGTTTCAAAATGTTAAAACTAAAGAAGCACCAGAAAACTTACTTGAGAGCCAATTTCCGATAAGCGCTCTTAATTTCCTGGTCGGTAGAGTTCCTTAAGACTCCTAAAACCTCGTAAGGGTCTCGACGGAGCTGCTTATCAGCATCCTTCTTCTCCGACTTGGATCTATGACCTGGCATTTCTTCTTCTCTTCAAAACCAAAACACAACAACAACAACAAAAAGAATCCTCACCAGAAACCCTAAGAATCTCAATCCCACTTCAACGAAAGAAAAAGAAGAATTTCAGCGAGGGAGGCGATAATAAATCTTCTTGATTAATCCTTCATTTCTACAATTCTCCCTCCGGAAAATTCAAATTGACGGCGGAAGAGAGCTACGAGAGACTAGTCCTCTCTCTCTCTATCTCTCTGATTCTTTGAGAGAGATATAAGACTGAACTGTCAAAGGAGAAATCGAAGGAGAAGGAAGGTGAGAGAAATAGTTTGAGAGAGAGAGAGAAGAAAGGAAGAAGAAGAAAATTTAAAACTATGGATATATTTCACACACTACAACAGTTGCGCTGGTTCGGCGCGTGATATCGGCGCGTGGGGATTTCCAGATTTGAGAACCCGCAGGTTGTTTCTTGTTTCGGCATCTTTTTGTTTTTTTGTGGAGGCGCGTAGTGTTCACGCTGAGCAACACAACAGTAGGTTTCCTGATTAATAAAGTACTAATTAATTAATTATAATTAAACAATAGTAATCCAACTCATATGACCTTTCTTTTTAAAAAATCATTAATCAAAAATGGTATGGTTTCTTTTGTTTGGATTGGTTTAGTTGCAATATCATTTTTCAACCATATCTCTTAACCGACTTATACAAGTGGCTCCAAGTTTTTAACCATAAGAAATTTATATGTTATGATATTTGATATTATAACATACCACACTAAGAAACAAGAGCTAAGATTTTTTCCAAAAAACTGGATGTGACATTTAAACATAATCAACCTTATATGGTTAAAAAAAAAAAGATTTTTACTATATAGGTAGGGTTGAATAGTAACAGTGTTGTTGACTATAAAGTCTACAAACAATATAATTAATTATCTTTTTCTATAAATAAAAACTGTATAATCAAATTAATTAAGCCATTTAACGTCAAAATTTTCGTTTAAGTTAAAATTTAATTTTCTGTCCTATCTTCACAAAAAGGGCCTGTGATGCTGGCTTGCATCAGTGTACAACTTTTTCAGGAATATTTTACACAAATATTTAAAAAAATGGTCCACATGAGAGAGTTTATTAATTGGATATATAAATATATAGTTATACAATGAAGAGGACACTTGAACACAATCAGAGGCTCATCATCATGTTTATTTGGGTTCGTGTTTTGTAATAAACCCTTGCCAAATCTTTTGTTGGGCTTTATCGAGGGATCATTTTAAAACTACTAGTTGTGTATAATTATAGATTAGTTTTGTATTCTGTAATGTTATGTCTATTAAAATACGTAACTATCTTTGATTATTTAAGATTAGAAAAATAAAAAATAAAAACATTGAAGAACGAGATATTTTGGAGTTTTCAAAATATTACTTTCACTTCACGAGATCGAGACGTATTGTTAATACGTTATAATTAAAAATGATCACCAGATTCCTACTACGAAAATGATTGGAACTGGACCCCTTTACCGTCACAGCAAAACGTCATTATGGTTATTAGGATTGTTGTGACTTGTTGATGGGTTTTGTATCATCGTCGTTACAAAAATCTATATATTATTTATGGGCCTAATATAACTGAAAGCCCAGTAACTGGATTGGTTAAGTTTTAAAAATTGCATATGTAGCTACATAGTATTTAAATTTCAATGTAGACTATATATATCTGCACAAAAAAGATGTGTAAATTTCAGTTATCTGCACGTAAAGTATGTACACTTTTGATTTCCCCCATACTTCACGTGTATGATGATGCGATATACATATACATTTCTATCACTATTATTATAACACATAAATCCAGTCATAGTGGAAGACAGAACTACGTGATTCGTTATTAATTACTTCTACCAAACACAAATCACAAAACCACCAGACCACATGGTCTTGAGATGCTCAACTTCGATGTTGTACATCCAAAAAACTTCGACGTTTTTGAAACAAGTTTTGTAATCCTCTATCATCATTCTTTGTTTATTTTAACTCTAAAATGTGTATTAAGTGTTTACTGAAATAGTGTGTAAACATAAGTTCGTGTGAAGCTGTTGAAGGTCATACTGAATAACATATTAACATAGTTAGCCAACAAGCAAAACAAGAAAAAACTCAGAGATGTGGATTTGTACTAAATGAATATGGTCTATACGGAGGAGAAACGAGGATGTAAATATGTAATCGTAATACAAAAATGTACTCCATTAATACCGTGTGGGATAGGTTTATCCGTTTATATGACTAAGTACCCTAGCTAGCTCCATTATTATATAACACATTCATACATATATAGACTAATTAAGAGAGACTAACCAATGGTCACAACAGAGACTAATTTGTAGATAAGTAGTTAATTAGATGAGACCCTCAAATTCCAAACCTTAACAGAAAGATCAAGACTCCCACTATAAACCATACAAGAATAATCAGAATTAGAATCGGAATCAGAAACTGCGACAGCCAAACACTTAACAGGCTTTTTATGTCCTTCCAAAACAGCCAAACAAGAATAACCCTCTGTCTCCATTAATCCTCTCTTCCAAACCCTCAAGCTATTGTCTGCTGATCCACTCAACACCAAATCAGACGCAACCGCTAAACACATAATCGCCTTTGTGTGTCCCCTTAAAGCTCCCACCACAGACATATGTTGTAATTCGCCATCAACACCACCATCATCTTCTTTGCTTAATCTCTTCCATACAAGAATCGATCTATCACACGCTCCTGAGTAAAGAACCTTCCCATCTTCACTGATCGCCAAAGCGTTCACTGCCGAGAGATGTTTCGTTAGAGTGGCGACCAGAGAGTGTTTCTTGTCCTTCTTGTTCCACACTTTAATCTTCTTATCTGCCGAGCCCGTGTAGACAAACCCCTCAGGAGACACCACGATGGCGTTGATGGCATCGTCGTGAGCCTTTTCAATAGACTCTAAGCATTTCAAATTGGAGGTTCTCCATATCTTGAAACTTCGGTCCCACGAAGCAGAGTAAAGCATAGAGCCGTCTTTTGATAAAGCGAGAGATGACACGGCGTCCACGTGGTGAACCCACGTACACTTCTTGTGCCGTCGGACTTCTACGTAGCTTTTGCTACTGAAGAGATTCCTGAAACGGTCGTTCATCGTGGGAAGAGTCGCCACGCACTTGTACCTCTGATCTCTGCGACTGTTCTCGTCGATGATCTTCCATACACGAATCTTGTGATCCTGATGAGCGCTTATTAGCTTGTCTCCGAGAATCACCAGCGATTTAACACCTCCGTTTCCTATGGAAACTATGTTACGGTCATCGCCGGTGGAATATTCCGGCGAGAACGGAGGTTCACGGGGCCATACACGTATCTCGCTGTTGGAAGAGCCTGTGTAGAGTAATTTATCGGAGACGGCGAGAGAAGAAACGTACGAGGAGTGACCTTTGAGCGTGGCTAAGCACTGGTGATAGACACTTGAGCTCTGCGGCTGAAAAGACAGCGAAGGAACCAATGGGAGACTTGGCTGAGACAACAAAGATGATGACGTGGATGATTCTGATTGGTGAAGAGTAGATTTTGTTTCACATTCTGATCTGTATTTATTACAAGGCAGGGGACAAGAGCATGGGAGCAAACCCATTTGTTCTTACTTCTTGAGAGAACTAGAGAGAGAGAGAGTTTTAACTTTTAATTTGTTTGTTTTGGTGTTGTCGGGAATAATCGTGGAGATGCTTTGCTTTATACGATGAGTCGTATCCCTCCCTAGGTAGAGAAGATTTGGAGGGTTTATAATATAATGATTCAAGCATAAGCTTTTTTAAAAAAATGGGGGTTAATGGAGAATTATATAAAAAGGTGAAAGATAATTAAAAGTTTAGAGTAGTGTAGGGTGGGGGAACTAATTTGACCCATGTGTCGTTACTGTGATAGCGTGATGATGTGTTTATATTAAATTAGCATATCTTTGTGTTCCTACCTTTTTGTGATTATTGTATTTTCCTTATAATGTGTTTTGACATAGTAGTATTAAATTGTATTTTCTTGAGTTGAGAGATCAAACCCGATGCTTCTAAAGTTATGATAAATTCTTTGACACCAAGGTCAAATTGTCATCATGTATTTGTAGTCCCCCTATCGATTGTTGATATCAATTTAAAGGTCATTGGTTAAAATAATAGTTTCAACTTTTTGTTAAAAAAAAAAAAAACAATAGTTATGAACTCATAAACCATGAATTTCATCTCAAATGTATTCTATATGTTCAAAAATAGAAACTATGCATGAATGAAGAACAAATCTAAGAAAGAGAAGGAATAAATCGTGTCATAATCTGACTAATTTAATCTACACTAAATACAAAAACAATCCAACGGTAGAGAGAAGTAGTAGACTAGTCAAAACCAATCTAGAGCCGTCGATTCTACTAGCATCACCGGATTCACCCGTGTCTCGCTGTTGAGTGGACGGTGATGGAGGAGATATAGAACCGTTGAAGTTAGGATTCTCACCGTACAAATACTGGACTCCTTCCACGTCATCGGTCGTTAAGTCAACCTTACGCTTCCCCGTCATGATAGTTGGGTACATGATCGAACCTTCGACCGAGGAATGGCCTAGCCCGAGAAGATGTCCGATCTCGTGAACAGCCACGGATTCAAGATCAACAGCCTCAGGCACGGAGATAACACCGTCGCCGCCTTCCCCGGAGATGATCCAGTTCTCTTCTCTGTCGAGGTGGAAGTGTCCGGTCGGGGGCGAGAACGCGTGAGCCAGCGTTCGCATCGGACCGTCGAATGGTTCTCCGTCACCGTGTTCGCCGGAGTAGAACCCGATGAAGATGTCGGAGTTCGAGAAACTCTCCACGCGTGTGAACGTAAGGGGTGTTACCTCCGCCCAACGAGCGAAGGCGCGTGAGAACACCGTCTTTACCTCTTCGGTCAACATGTTTCGTGGGTTGAACGCGTAGGTTAGATCACGGCGATGTCTCGGCCACCGTGGCTCTCCGGGGAAGAAAGAGTAGCGTTTGACGGCGTGGAAACGTTGGCCTCCCCCGGAGAAGGAGACCTCGTAGGTTCTTCTACCGCTATGCATAGTTGAGGTGCCGTTGACTACGTCGGGGTTTCCGCAACGTGGGATCACGACTTGTTTGAGAGTGAGCTCATCAAGTACTCCGGTGACGTTTAGCCGGAAGTTTCTCTGGTACATCTCGACGGCGTTCTTGAGGATATCGTCGAAGTCATCAGTGAAGTTTCCGGAGAAAGTTTCGGGGATGTAACCAAAATGTTGGAAATATTGTTTAAGCTTGTAGAGACCATCGTATTTGTTGCCGGCATGACATCCGGTGAAATTCAAGAAAGAGTTCCAGAGGTTTCCAGTGGCGTTACGGATGAGTTCGGGCGGAACGACTGAAGAGTTGGGATAGAAACCGGCGGAGACTGGAGAAAGAACGAAGAACAACAAGAAAAACCCGAAAACACAAATCCTCATCATGGTGGTGGTTTTTGGATTATAGCTACCAAACACAAAAAGATTAAAACTTTGTAATGAAGAGGTAATATTGAGATATAGACAAGAGAATGAGAGAGATGACAAGTAGAGTCCTTGAAGGTTGTTTGAATTTTCATCGTTGAAAAAGCTGAATTATTCAAGGGAAACTTCCTCAGGCTTCGGCATTTTCAAAAGTCTTACGAGGAAAAAGGACTATAGAGGCTTCTGCCAATAAATAGTGTCGTTTTCTTAAAAAGTAAATTTGATTGATGCATTATCATGCATGGGTTATAGTCTCCGGTTTAGTCTTGGTGACTAAAATTTGTGATTGATGGTAGAGCCGTAGAGGTCGAATGGTTAAATTTTCAAAGTTGGAAAAAGATACATGCAAATAAAAATGCTTGAAGGCGGCAGAACAACTAAATAAGTTGAAAGTCTGAATTAGCTTTTCTTTTCCTTTTTTTTTTCTGATAATTTTACATGAGATATTTGTTATTGGTCGAGAAAATCAACTTACAACCTCCACCTTACACGAGTGTTTTTTATAACTTTTGTTAGCCTAATCTAAGTTTGTCCTAGTGGGTCTATATAACATGCAAGTCTCCACCATCAGTTATAAATTTTGGTATATCAGTATTTGGTACATGCATATAAATTTGGGTCAAAAGCTTGAAGCCCGTTTGAGTCCGGCTCTAAAAAAACATACATGGTTAGGATATTTATCAACACTGAAAAGTTCAAGTTTCATTTCTTGATCCCATTCGGACTTGAAATTATTTTCAGATTTAGCTCGACCAGGTTTTTACTGGCATTAGAATTTAGAAGCTTGTAAATAAATTAGATTTGCTATCTAAAAGTCTAAACTATGGGGATATTTGACCGTGTTTAGTGTACATTTATTTCGGCAACATTTTGTTATTTTTGACTAACTTAATAACTTTAATTTTCACTTTACAGTGTGGTATTGGATTAATATTATAACAAGATTAAGGTTTTTCATTACACACGATTAGCTTTTGACTCAAGAGTCACGAGGCTTATTGAAAAGCGAACAAAGGTGTAATTCTAAGAAGTTTGCACAGCCTATAGATATAATTAACCGTTGTGGTGGTGGTCAATCGTAGAGAGGCTACCAGAAAGCAGACCATTGAAGCGTGGCATACGGAAGAGTTTATGTTTGCTATAAAATGCAAAGTATATGAAAAACACTATCCGACGACCCGGGATAACACAAACTAAGACCATGATTAACGGGGGAGTCTTACTTGTTTCTTATGTATTTTGTTGATTAAAATTAAATAATTAATAATGCTAAATGGTAAGAGACATTCCTTGGTCAAGAGTTAATCTTAACCTTAAGAGGCGCGCACGTGTCAATTTCTTAGTCGTCGAAAAAGAAAAGAAAAAAAAAAGTGGGGAAAAAGCTTCTTCTTCTTCTCTCTGCCCAAAGCTGAACTTGTCCTCTTCTACTTCACATTCATCTCGTTTCTTCCACGTTATTATATACATAATAATATTATAATTGTAATTTTTATGCAATAACATTGTATATGATTAATATCACAGAAATTCTTATTCACCGATTTAGTATTTTATCATTTTCTCAAGGATGATTAAAATTCAAAAGTTAAAATCTTTTTTTAGAAAATTAAGCAATTTATTATTTTTGATTTACAAAAAAAGGAAAATTAATACTAGGGTTATTCTCAATTTCTCATATATATTTTAAATTTTTAAATATGTAATAATTAATAAGTTTTATAAAATTACAAATTTTAGTTCATTTCATTTGAATAATTTGTTTTTCTAAGAACCTCAAATTAAGAGCCTACCATTAAAGATACATAAAAACTAAAATCAAAAATCTAACTCTTAACTTTAAACTTTTCAATTTTATTACTAAATTATTTTTAAGAGAAAAGCTTAAGAGCTCATCAATAATCATGCTCTAAGAGCAGCAGCATCGGTAATCTCTCACACAAACTCTTGCCATTTAAAAAAAAAAAAAATTGAAAAAAGAAGAAAGAGGAGAGAGACATCTCTCTTTTGATAGACGTCTCTCTTCTCTCTTTTGAGAGACTTTAACAAAAATACAAGAGACGGTTCTCGTATCTCTCCTTTTATGATTGGTCTGCTAAATTATTTTTTAATTAAATATTATTAAGTTATGTTCACACTTAGTTTGAAAGACCCAAATGCACTGCCGATGCTGCTGGTCTAAGTCGTCTCTTGCTTCAACTCTCTCCTAGTCTCCACCTATGTAGATCCCACTCATCACTATCATGATGTCTCAGTGACTCAGTCTCAGTTGCTTCTCATATTTCCGATCATTATAGATGACTAAATCCTTAAGTTAGGCTTCTACGTACATATTATTGACTCGTTTACTATTATGCTTTATTAGTTCAATATATATATATAGAGAAAAAAAAAAAAAAATTGTCGACAAAAAAGAAGAAGACGAGGTCGAGTCAAGTCCGACATCACATTTGCGCCCGACGTAGACATCGACACTAGTATAAACCAATAATTCGGTTTAGTATTTTCCCACCGTTAATAATGTAATGAAAGCACTGCTAACCAACAAAGTATTACTGTAGATGAAAAAAGTATAAGATACATGAAATAGGTATTAGATGGAAGCATTGCAATAAAACCGTTTACAAAAAAAAAAAAAAAACTAAATGATTCTTATCATATATTTTTTCAGGGATTTATTAATTTATTACAAATATTTTTTTTTGTTGAAAATAATGGAATACGGTAGAGTCCAATCAGTATTATATCTATATGAATAACTAATTTTCAAATGTTGGGCCAATAGGTATTGTGAATTTTGTTTTGTAGTGATGATTAATTTCTTGGTATTATTTTTAGAATTAATTGAAAAAATAAAGAAAAAAACGAAGTTGCCCCACATCCAAACACTTTTGACCTAGTAAACGTTAATTAATTAGTAGACACGGCAAGCTGAGCCCAAACACAATATTAGCGTCCATAGCTTCAACTTGTATCCCTCCTCTACACTCTATAAATGCTCAATGTAATCGAAGTGATCATCATCTTCACTATCAAGATGGCCGGGTCTTTAGTTTCTTCCATCATTTTGTTTCTTCTCTTTATCATTCTCTTACTTTTCGTAGATGGAAACGTTTTTGCTGCCCGAATGGAACATCGCAAACTCGGTGAGTCTTCTACCTATATTTTAGATTTTTTGTAAGTTATTTTTTGTTTATTTATTTTATTACTTAGTTCAAAATTGGTGGATAGAATATTTTAGAAACATTTAGTGGTACATTTCTAACTTATTTACATTCTTTTAAAAAGTAAAAAATAAAATAATATTCGTAGTCTTTGTCCAAAAAAAAATAAAAATAATATTCGTAGTCATTATTAAGGGCTTGACGTTACATATATGCCATGTGTAATGTGAAGGTGGGGAAAAAGAAAAAATGACCATAAGGAGGAACTTGGAGGGTGGGCAACAAGGCTCAAAAATTGGAGCTCACGGAAGCACGTCGCACCCAGACGGCGGGAAAACTGCTAACGTGCCGGAGCAACGCAAACCTAATCAAGCGACGGCGCAAAGACACTCTCTTCGATACTCAGATATCAAACGCAATCCAACCCTAGGTTAGTGCCGTCGAGAGAGTTGCAGCTACTATAATTAGGACCGTCTAATTCGGCATGATAATTTTTTATTCGCACCAAATTTTAAATTTGTTGAGGACATTTTTTAAAGAAATATATATATATATAGCCCTGATTATATTGACTATATATTCGGTTCGTGTTTTTGAGGGAGTTCTTGCAGCAACTGGTACGTATTAGGAGCGTCTATAACTCGGCATGTTATGCGCACCAAATTTAAATTTGTAGAGGACTCTTTTTAAAATAAATATTTATTATTGAGTAATTATTATAGCACTAATTGACTATATTTTGGTGGATATATTTTTTGTAAACATAGTGGTACGTACATTTCCAGCGCATATATTCGCTTAAACAATTAGCATGGATTTTGTGTGTAATATGAAAATCGTTCAACCCTATTATTTTGTGGAAAGACACACATAATAGAAAATGGCACTGTGTGTACAGGTTTATACTTTTTTCAAGTTTTAGTTTATGGGTACCAAACCAGACCATTATGAGCTCGTCATAGCGATGGTCTCCTTAAGTATAAACTGAGAAGAGTTTATACTGAACATACTTATCAATGATGCTAAAGACTATCCTTGACACCCATGTTGGTGTTGCACTATGTAGCCTCTGGTTTCACTCCTTCCAAAAATGAGTTTTTATTTAAATGCGATATTAAATTTTCTTTTTGATTTTTCCACAGGATATCCGACTATTCACCCTAAATGCACTATGTACACTCGATGTAAGAGGGGGAATTAATTAGATGATCTGGCTATAACTTTGGATACAAAGTCGGCATGCATATGTTGTTAGCGGGTTTTCTTGTTATGTGGTTGGTTCTTCAGTCTTTATGCTAATGTGTATGACTGGGATCGATCGGAGTATGCAACTTGGGAAGCTAGATCCTTATAGTTTTATCATATATCTCTTGTAATTTTTATTAGTTCAACGTAAACTATTTAACAGTCAAACTATCAGACACCAATTTTTTATTAATTATTTTTAATACATTTATGTCGACTTGGTTTATGAAAATTAAATACAAATTTTTATCATTATTATTATATGCCGGCCCGTAACCTGTTTTGTTAAAACGTTGATCAAAGCTGGTTCGTTATATAGCTGACTCCTTTTGGTGAAACTATATATTCTCAAAGATAAAGAGTACTACTACAGATCAATCTGTGCCACAAACTTAATCACTTCTTGCTTTGACACTTTGGGATTCCGCTCCATCTACGACGTCGTTTTAAGTAAAGAGTGAACTCATCAACTTGTGCTGTTTCTCATGCATGTATTAAAAATATTAGGAATACAAAGAAGGCTAGAGGAGAGACCAGTACTATCCGACGACCCATACAAAACTAAGTCGTCTCTAAACTCTTTCTCCTTTCAACTCTATACAGTCACAGTCGTCATTAATTATTATGACGTACGTCGTAGTCTATTCTTGTTTTTTTTTCCATTCATTTTCTTTCTTCTGCTTCTCATATTATAGATGACATAGTCCTTCCCATTGACTCAGTTTGTAGCCAATACTGCCCAATACTCTCTCTAAAGTAGAAGCATAATTACTAACTTGAAAAAAGTAAGTCTATAATTCTAGCTGACCGTACCAAAAAAACTTTTAAGAATGTATGCGAGTTGCTCATAAGAAGTTACATGTAATTCGTCCTGAATCATGTACCACATTACAGTCTACCTCTAACTGTGCTTGATAGGTTAGAAGCAAAATACGATTAGTTGCTATGTGAAAAGAGTCTATTCGCAGTTGACTATTATAAAAAAGCTAGCTCCATGGGATCAGGAGTTATCAATGCAGTTCAATAGTTCCTTAAGTTAAGGAAACTTAAGCTCGTCGGTTGTAACAACATTGACGAATGTTCTGCTTCGTTGGAGAATCAAAAGAAGGTAAATAGCACCAAAGAGGACCAAAGATATGGGTCACATACAGTTGACTACTCACGTACATTACAAATTCCGGAAGAATGTTTGTATGTTGTGGTTGTTCTGTTTTGTTACGTAATTCTATGTTTTCACTGTAAAACGTGAAATATATAGGCAAAAATAAGCTAGCTCCTATTAAACATGATATAATGCAACCGAGTAAGTTAACCAAGTAAACTAAAAATATCCACGTGAAAGTGGAACTAGCGCCATATGGCCGACAGAGAAGATGAAAAAACTAATTCACTACATGCGAATAGTCTTCGCGGAGAACTTTCAAAATCCGCATAGCTTTCAAGTCTCTCTCTTATCTTATCTCTTCATGCTCATCTTCTTTGGCTGATTCTCTACCATTTCTTAAACTCTCTCTTACCTTCCACCTCTCTATTCTATATAAATGCATAAACGTATATTAGTAATATTGATAAGTAAAGAGGATTACTAAGATGACATCTTCTATAGTCATTCCCATACCTCTCTTTTTTCTTCTTCTTCTCGTGTCTCCACATATGAATGAAGCCCTTGGTGCAAAAACTGAACTAGGCAAACTTGGTGAGTCTTTTCTAGATATCTTTGAAATATGCGTATAGGTCATTACTATTTTACTTTGTTAAGTATTCAGTTTTTGGTATTAGTATTTTTTTTTCACTTTCATTCCACATTAAACATTTCGTTTTTTATTTTTAATTTTTTTAATGTGAAAATAATAAAACAGTTTAAGCTGTACCACGATTCAGTTTGGTTTTAAATTCGGTTTATACTGATAAATTAGATAGACAAATCGTCACTAGCAATATCGAACCTCGACAGTACTGTAATACGTGCAGTATATATTGTGTGATGTGTTTTGGTGGTGCAGGTGGATTAAAGACAAACCATCCTGATCAAGTGATGATGGTCCAAAGGATTCCACGGATTTCAATTCCACGACGGTTTTTAGCGAGTCGGTGCCCACCCTACAAACGATGTAAACGTAGTCCTGGTCCGCATCCAAACTCTTCCAAAGGCACAGACGGACTTGGTCACTGATCCCACTATAGCTTCGGATGCATCTATATTTATTGTATACGTTTTCTTACATTGTGGTAATTTCTGTTCTTCATCCATATGCAGGTGTTGTTTGTCATAATTTACAGATTTATCGAATGCAACATATATATATATATACGTGTGTGTGATAGTTTCTGTATTGGACCGTGTATTAGTTAAACAACACTACATTATTGAATTGGACCCTACATGGCTCATCTTCAAATGAAACATGTGTCACAAAAAGTATCCAGACAGAAACCAACCCCATAATTATATTCTACATGTTATTTGCGGTTTCTTCATTCTCATGGTAATGTAGCTAGATCCTTTTGGTTTATCATATCTCTTGTAATTTTTATATCATATCTCTTGTAATCTTTCTTGGTTCAAATTAATTTCCATTATACCTATAACAAGAATTAAAAATTAAAATTACTAGCTAAAAGACTTGCTTGCTTTTTTCTTTGTTTTCTTTTCTGTTCTTCATCAAATTTGTTTCTCCATCCAATTACGATTAACTGTCTCAACTTACAATTGAAAGTAGATAATCTGTGTGCAGTCTAGAACATCAAAAATCACTATCGTAGTCACTCTTTCATAAACGCAACTAAAGCGTGGTGGATTAACTTCTTTCTGAAATTCATTTTAATTATTGGAGAGTTCACAGTCCTCTTGAGATCCGATCACATTAAAAACGTTAATGATCAAAGCTGGTTAGTTATGGAAGGTGTGTAACAACCTCATGAAGATGTAGATGTATATCTATGAGAGTATGAGACCATAAGTGAATCCTAATTTGGTGAACTATATATACAAGATGTACGTACATATAAATATATAGGAGGCCAAAATTTGGAAAGAAAAAAAAAGGTTAAGGCCAAATAAGTACAGTATAGTTTTTCTCGAGTAATTTAAACATATGGCATGATATCAAGTATAAAAAAAGAAAGTTAAAAAAAAAAAAAATTACATGCATATTTTATTTTCACTCATCGGCTTTGTTAATAAATGATCAACATGCATGCAAAACGGTTTGAGTGGACCATGCCTATTTTGACACCCTAAAGAAGACTGATGCATCTTAGTAGAACAAAATTTATTGTTCGAGTTTGTCATATTTTGGGATTTTACCTTCTAACTGTTAATATAATATATAAAAACATTATTTACCATCTATTTTTACACATAATTCATGCATTGATCCTATGATAAAATAAACTTCAACAATATACCAACAATCATGAAACATAAGATTAATTAATTTTTTGCTGAAGAATTATATAAATCATTGCTTTAACAGTTTATATATATAAATATATATGATATGGAACGAGTCAAAGACAAAAACATATTTTTCTTGCTTTTGCACTTTTGTTTTTCGGATTCCGCTTAGACTACGTTTCAATGATCAGTAAACTCATCAACACGTATATACAAGGAAAGCTAGAGGAGACCACTATCCGACGACGACCCACACAAATTAAGTCGTCTCTTCCATTTTATATATAGATGTGTCACAAGGCTTCCTTTCTTCTTTTCAATGTCGTTAAAAGTTAAAACATAGAAAGTCCGTTTTATTGGATATATAAATAAGTGAATAACCCATGTTTATAAATACAAAGAAAAAACTTCTCACCAACTGGTATTATGAATTACTATATTTTTGTAGCGATAGTGTATTTTGGTACTAATTTAAGTAAATGAAAAACAAAAAAAACAAAAAAAACATTAAAACTTTTGACCGAGTAAAAGTTAGTTTTAGACACGGCAAGCTGAGTCCAAAGTCCAAACACAACATTAATCGTCCATAGATCCAACTTTGATCTCTTCTCAATGCAATATAAATGCTCGAAATGTTATAAAATGTGATCATCATCTTCAGTATTAAGATGGCCGTGTCTCTAGTTTCTTCCATCATTTTGTTTCTTCTTTTTATCATACTCTCACTTTTCGTAGACAATGGTGTTTTTGCTGCCCAAATGAAACACCGCAAACTTGGTGAGTCTTCTACATATATATATGGATACAGTTTACTTTTTTATTTATTTTACGTAGAGACAAATTATCAATGAAAGTACGTACTAAAGGTTTGACACTATATATGCCATGTGTAATGTGAAGGTGGAGCAGCAAAAGAGACAATGGCCATAAGGCGGAACTTAGAAGGAAATGGGAACGGAGGCTCGAAAATAGGAACTCCGCACAGCTTTTCGCAACCTGATGGACAAAAAGTCAATCAAAACAAGCCATCCGAGACCCGTCCTAATCAAGCGACGGCCCAAAGGAAGAATTATATTGCGTACGACGCCCTAAAAAGGAAAGCGGTCTCATATCCATCAGCTCCAAAATCTACTGCATGCCCAGTGTATAAACGATGTAATAGGTCAAGGTTAGCATCAAGTCCATAACATCCTCCGCCTCCAAGCTCTTCCAAAGGCACACAGGGACTAGGTCACTGATCTCACTATATATATATATATATACATAGCTAGTAGCTTCAAGCCTTCAAATATGCATGTTTTTCTTAAGTTGTGGTCTGGTTTGCAATTTCTGTGGTTTTTCATATATATATATATATATATTATATGTAGGTGGATGCCCTCATAGTTTACAATAAAGATTTATCAAAAGCAAATATATATGATCGATAGAGTATCAACGATACTTATGAAGTGAACATTCTATAACTACATTTGGTGAATCGGAAGAGTACGTTGAGTTATAACATTGTACCATGCATGGCTAATCTTAACTGATTTGTAGACATAATTAAAACAATTAATCCGTAACACATGTGTCACATATATTCATAATAATAATAATATATAATAATGTCATCAATTAATTGTTACTCCCACAGAAATAGGTAAGGCGAGCTACATATATACATTATTTAGGACAGTCCATATATATCTACCTTTCTACATATTGGCAGTAGAGATCGCTCTCAGGCAGGCTAATATATAAGTCTTGGAGATAACGAGATATATCAGACTTAAAACATTTTATTTAAATAAATAAATAAAACACTTAGCATCATTATCAATTAACTCTTAAGGTGTTCTTACCCTTAGATTTGTTAAAATGGCTCTTATATTGATAACTTATGTTTCTTATTTTGATTTAAATTTGTTAAAATCTGTCATCTATGTAACATTTATTATTATTTTCACTGTATCATAGAGTGTTTTGGTGTTTCTAAAAGTTTGATGATCGGGTTATATCATACTGTAATTTAATATATTTTTCTTACTTTTTTTTTTTTTTTGTGAACCAATATATTTTTCTTACTATACATGGAAATTTAAACGATTTTTACGTAACTAAACTTATTACCCATATACACTATACTGCAAAAAGAATTGATAATATTGCGTGGTATCGTTTTCTCTAGATATAGTGTAAGCCTTGGAAGACGTCACAAACATTGGAAAAGTTCCTAAAGAATTTTCAAAGTTCAACTTTTGTTTATTTATGGCGGTGTGTGTGTGTGTTGGAGTCTTGGTCTTTTTGTCTCCCTCTTTCATTTGCAATTATTGACCTATTTTATCATTTTGAACGTCCGACCCATATCCCTATATTAGTAAAAAAGAATTACAAAATAGAATACGGGTCGGGTTAAAACTAAAAAATTAACCCAATTTTAACAATTAGATACTTCAAAACTGGATATTAAATTGGGTTTGGATACATGCATCGGATACTTACCATATCTAATATTAGGATTATATTATTTCTATAACTAATTATAGAATTTCCTAATATTTCTCTAACTAATTTAATATAATCTATTAAAAAATATTATTCTTTTTTCACTTTTATTTGATCTTATTTTTAATTTATGATATTATACTATATAATACAAAATATTTAATAAAAATTTCACATTTTTTTGCATATATTGCAATTTGAATTTTTCAAAACAGACATATAATACTCAACTACACTCGGTTAAAAAACTTTGGGCAATGGTTTAAAATCATTATAAGTATAACCAATATTAAAACCATTGTTACATCATCATATTTAAAATTTCAAAAAAATTCAAAATATTATAATTAAAAGGTTCAAATATAGAAAAATTTTAGAATTTAAATATTGACAATATTGTTTGAAGACATAAATGTAATTTTGGAGACATAATTTTTATTAATAAAATATATTATAAATCAAACTATGTAAATTTTAGATACTTCATGGGTAGTTTGTTAAAATCACAATTATAATCATAAAGCGAGTTATGAATAATTTTTTTTACGAAATGAATTATGTTACGGGTTGGTCCTTAAAAAAATATATTGTAAATATGTAATTTTTACGTATATTCCTACTTATACTACAAAAATGGTCAAAATGAATAATTTATCGACAAATATTATTTCGTGCTGTTAAATTTTCACCGTGTTTTTATTTGTATCAAAACTCAATATATGATTATTTACTCGCTTTTTAATTAGTTTATTAAATTTATTATACAAATATATGATTAATCGTAATTGACTGCTGCAAAAAAATTAAAAATGTAACATATTCTAATCCGTTAAAAATTATATATATATATAATTATTTCCCACGCGTTATAGCGCGAGTCCGAACCTAGTTATACAATATAGAATTTGTTTTACTTTCCCATTTTAAAAACATCTAAATATATTATTTTTTTGGGTTTTGATGTTAGACTTTTTCGTTAGATACGTACTACTTACAACTTCAATTTTTAATTTAAACGTACTATTATTTTTAGAACAAGATTTAAAATTAGGAAATTTATAAAATTATTGAAACTATAATTAATTTTAAAACATATAAAAATTAAGAAGAAATCGGTTTAACATGGACGTCACTAGATGATATATGTAATATGTGGAAAATATTATTAAATAAAAGATAGTAAGTACATTTGAAAACTCGTTTACATCTCGTAGGGATCTTCTATCTAAAGACTGATCTCTTTATTAAAATGAAACGAAACACGAGCATAATTTATATTTTCATGTAAAAAGTCTCAAGTCAAGTGTCAACGCTTTTCTTCTTGAGGAAAAAAAAACCATAATAAAAGGGAGGGATCTTGTCCAAAAAAAAAAAAAAAAAAAGGGAGGGATGATTAAGATTTGGTTACCAAATTGGTTTACTTTAATTTTGGGTTTAAAGCGCATTTTTTACTTAACTGAATTTTGATGAGCGATTTCAAAATTGCAACGACATGTAATTTCGGTTCGAAAATTAAATTTTATGTGGTTCTGCTTTGAAAAAATTATTACAATTTCATATAGAGGCCTTAAATCTCTGGTGTTGGAAAAAATTTAAAAACTTCATGCGCACCTAATTAATATATCGATCAGACGATCACCCAAAATGGAGTGTACAATTACAAGTAGCTGCCCAGCGTAAATCTAATGGAATGAAATCGACAGGATGTGCGGAGACCATTAAAACCCAAAATACACAAGCCTAAAAACTAAGTCGTTGTCCCTAGCTTCAGCTCTCTCTTTCTTATCTAGATCACCTTCTACTGTTTTTGTTTTGTTTTGTTTTGTTTTGTACGTGTGTGGCTTAAGTATCTACCCTATGTTTCAACTCGCTCTTATCTCGATCTCTACTCTATAAAAATGCAATAACGCGAGCCAAAGTGATTAAACAGACATACGAAGAGTTGATTAGGTAAAAAATTCATCAGACCCATGCAAGTATTTTAGGTCACATTTTGTGCTTAAGCATACGTAACAGAGCAATTTATTAAGATGGCATCTTCGACATTCTCTTCCATGCTATTTCTTCTTCTCCTCGTTTTTTCGCTTCATTTAGATGAAGCTCTTGGTTCTCAAACTGAAATCCGCAAACTGAGTAAGTTTTTTTTTTTTTAATTGAAATCACCAATATTCAGTCCATGTATGAATATTCATGTTGAGTTACAAGTATATATATAAATATGTATGGTGATAGTATTGAATGATTTGATCCAATTACATTTTTGATATTTCACAGAGTTTTCTTATTCATATTTATTAAATAATTATTTGAGTTTCCTTACAAAATTGTCTTTATAGTAATCCTATAAGTATATATGTACGTACGTTATTTATTCATTTTCGATTTGAGTATTCAGTTACTTACTAATTCTTCATTAATTATATATATATGTGTATATTTAACAATTTAAGGTGTTGCTATTAATTAACTGAAATATAAAATTTATGGGTGATCCAGAAGAAACGATCAAGATGAGAAGAAATTTGGAAGGCGATGACCATAGAAGCTCCAAAATGTCGACGGAACATAGCCAAACAAGACATTGCAAGGGACGACGCACAAGTTTGGAAAACATGGCCACCACTTATCGTCCTGATCAGGTTCAGTTCGGTCCTCTTCCATCCCCCTGTGCAAGCTGCCGCTCGCCCTCCGCCAACTGTTATAGATGTGTCACCACCAGACGCTGTGAAGGGTTCAAAGGATCACCGTTGACGTGCACCACCTCCGAAAAGTGTACACGCATATCTGGCCCTTAATCGGATTACAACTTTGAATGCATATATATATATGTATATATCGTGTGATTGGTTTGCTTTTTATATTGTTCTTCGTAATTTCATTTTGCATATATATACTATTTATGTAGATGTGTATAGATATATCGGATGTCATAAGTTCTTGTAAACGACAGTTATATATGCACAAATTACATACAAATCCACTTTCTTTGCCTTGAAAATATTGAAAAGGCTTTGGTAAAAATGATTTTTCATTCAAATACAACATCTAAATTACATTAGTTTTATTTTTGAGCTAAGGAACAATATTTAGTGCATTTACAAAATATTGAAAAGGCTTTGATAAAAATGATTTTTAATTTAAATGCAACATCTAAAGCACATTAGTATTATTTTTGAGAAAAGGAACAATAATATCATTGATGATAATTCCATATGTTGCTTTGGAATGGAGAAACAATCCATATGAGAAAATTTATTTAGGAAACACAATGTCATAATTAATATGAATATTTTTTACTGATGCATGGAAAATTCTATAAATTTAGCACAACATATGTTGCATACTTGCATCGGAATGTTAACTATATATATATTCTCAAGAAATATATAGAGAAGCTCGATGTTTGGCAAAGGTTCATGTATATATTCCATAGACGACAAATAATGAATCCCTTTCGAGGGGTATAATTAAGGACGACAGATGATAAATAGTGAAAGGTCACCCCACACGTGACGTAGTTAACGAAAACATGGCGACCGAAGACCACTAAAACCCAAAAGACAAGGGACATGCTTGAGCAGACGCCAAAAATGTTGGGATCTTTCTACGTAATTTTCAACGTTCATAAGGTTCACTCCTTTTTATAGATGGCTCATGGCTGTGTACATCTACGATCGAGTCTTCGTCTAATGGTTTTTTGTCTCTATCTTATAATTATTAACGTATCCCATATTCCCATATCATTTTGAACGTCTGACTATTCTTTTCTCAAGTCAAGTGTCAATGGGTCAATCCTTATTTTGTTATTTAAAAAATGAAATAAAAAACTCCATAAGAAAAAAAGGAGTTTGCCCGGAAACATGGTGTGCGGAGACAACTATAAGTCGTCCATATAGTTTCAGCTCTCTCTTATATATATGCGAGTCACATTGATTAAGTAATGATACCAGAGAGTTGATAAGGTCGGATTCAGACACATGCAAATTAAATTAGCTCAATTTTGTGATAAGTGATATAAAAGTAATTACAGAGTGAATAATAACTTAATAAGTAAGATGGCATCTTCGACATTAATCTCTTCCATGCTATTTCTTCTTCTCCTCATGTTTTCGCTTCATCCATATGAAGCTCTTGGTTCTCAAACTAAAATCCGCAAACTGAGTAAGATTTTTTTTTTCTTCCTTGGTTACATTTTACATATCAATATTCTTGTCGAATTACTAGTAAAATATATGTTAATAAATGATAATACTAGATATATCTTTTACATATCAATATTATGATTTGATCCAAATACATGTTTTTACATAATTTTCTGATTTTATATTTATTATTTTGAGACCATCATATATATTTTTTTTTTGGTCAACGACCATCATATATATATATATATTTACCTCTTTTTCATATTAAAAAAAATATATGCATTTATCAGTCATTTTACTACAAGATTAATAAATAAAATTATCATTAGAAAATATAATAATGTATCTACGTTTTTTAAAAGAATTTGGATTTTCTCAGGTTACTTACTATTGCGCTCCTTAAAATTGCATGCGTAACTGTTTTACAAGTTTTAACAAAAAAAAAAAAAAACATTTACATGCAAACTGTGTATATTGAAGTGTGAATTGTATGTGTACGTGATGCAGAAGAGATGAACAAGGTGAGGAGGAATTTGGAAGGCAATGACTACAAAAGCTCTAAATCGCAGGTTGAAGGGAGCGTATCGAATAAATGCCACAGCAAAATTTCTATCGAGATCGTCACTACTTATCTTTCTAATGAATCGTCTTCCCCCTGTATACAGTGCAACGCTGGCTCCTGTTATAGTTGTACCACGACTAGAAAGTGCACATGGTCCAGTGACTCACACCGGACATACCGGAGGTGCACCGTCACCGAGTTGTGTTGCCTTATAATACGTTCATAGCTATAGAATTATCGGATGCAAAATCAATACATATATATGTATACGATGGTTCGTTGAACATTTATTTATACATCTTACCTGTGTGAGTTGGAATAATTATATTGCTTTCTCTATTATAAAAGGGGTGAGTCGAGCATATAGGTTTGATCTTTAGATAATTTTTGAGAATATAAATAATCCTTTTTGTTTGAGAAACCATGGAGAAAGGAACGTAAACAGCTGCTCTGGGAAAATAATCTATGCAATGAATATATCACTTGACAGATTATAATAAAACATGGTGTGCAGTGCAGAGACCACTAAATCCCAAGATATCCACAAGTGACAAAACTGAGTCTCTCTATTTCTTATCTCGACCATATGTTTGAACTCTCTCTTATCTCTAACTTTATATTCCATACAAATGCAATAAACGTACCTCACAGGTCATTAAGTAGAGATACGAAAAGAAAAAAGAGAGTAATTAAGTAGAGATTCAGCGATTAGTGATAAGTGTACAGAGAGAATTATTAAGATGTCCTCATCATCTATAGTTTCTTTCATGCTACTTTTTCTCCTCCTTGTGTTTTTGCTTGATATGGATGAAGCTCTTGGTGCTGATCAGATTGAAATCCGCAAACTCAGTGAGCCTAATTTTAATAGTTTTCTTTACTTATGGATGTATTCATGTTTACTTACTACTAAAAGGTACTAATTATGTTGATAATACGTTTGCCAATAAGAAGAAGAAGAAGACATGTTAATGATATAATTGTCTTGATCCAGTTACATGATTTCACATACTTTTCCTCTTTAATTACTATCCTATTATTTGAGAAATACGGATCCAATGAATTGTATGCTATTTGAGTTACTTATAATTTTGATTTGTTAATCAGTCCAAAATATAGATAAATATTTAAGTAGTTAATTTTCATTTCATTGACATCTCCTACTAATGGCCATGAGACTATAAATTAAAGTGTGAAAGTGATGCAGAGGAGACGATGATAATGAGGAGGAACTTGGAAGGCAATAGCCTCAGAAGCTTCAAAATAGATACTTCACCAAGCGCATCCAAACATTGCGGGGGAGGTAGAAGTTTTAAGAAAGTGGCGACCACTGAGCGTCATGATAATGATCAGTTCAGTCCAATTCCACGAGGTGACTCGTCCTCTCTCTGTATAAGGTGCGTTACAACCAAACGATGTGTAGGGGTCGTAGGCGCGCCACCCTCGACGTACACGTGCACTACCATCTCGACACACTGTGAAAACATACCTGGACACTGATCAGATATATGTATATGCCAACACACATTTATATAAAACGTAGAAATATATAAAAAGCTCCCTATAAAAGTAACCCATGTTTGCTCTTTCTAATAATTATTAACGTATCATATCATTTTGAATGTCCGAGCCCGACGACTCTTCTTTTCTCTTGTCAAGTGGCATAACGAATAAAATCCACACGACAAACTAAAGTGGCATGGTGTGCGGAGACCACTGCCCACCGTATAACTCAAAACCCACAAGTACTGACAAACTTATAAGTCGTCCATAGTTTCACATCTCTCTCTCTCTCTTTCTTATCTCGACGTACGACGACCTTCTTCAAATTTTAGATTTTTTGTGCGTTTAACTCTCTACCATATGTTTCAACTCTCCCTTATCTTTACCTCTCTATAAATAAATCATAAACGTTAGTCACAATAATTAAGTACTAAATATATATACCAGAGAGTTGATGATAAAGGTGATCACATTCAAACACATGCAAAGTAAATTAGGTCAAATTCGTGATAAGCGATAAGTTTAAGTAACAGACTGAATTGTTAAGATGGGGTCTTCGACATTCTCTTCCATGCTATTTCTTCTTGTCCTCGTGCTTTCGCTTCATATGGATAAAGCTTCTGGACCTGCTCAAACTAAAATCCACAAACTCAGTAAGATTTGTTCACTACAAAAAAATGACTATATTGTATCACTTAAATTGTATCACAAATTTAAGTGATCTTATTTTAAATTACTTTTTAATAAGTGAAACAAATATAAATAATTTAACATCAATTACATTACTGATGCTAATATTAACTAATTTTCATCAATTATTTAAAACTGATTCAATTTCTAGTAGATTGTATCACTTTAAAATAAATTGATGTAAAATACATAATTACATCATTTAGATAATTGATGTATGTATTTTTTTTGATAAAATCGATTTTTTAAATGATACAAAATTAACATCATAAAAATGTGATGCTAAAATAAATTATATTAATAGCATCAATAAATTATATATATTTTTAAAAAACGAGGTAGTTAGAAAAAAATTCATAAATTAAGATGATATAATTTTATTTAAAATATTACTTTTCGAAATATTTTTTTGTTTTCATAATATTTTAATTCACGATTGTGTTCTATATTTTAAATGTCAAAAATGATTTTTACTTTTTCTCTAAAGTCCTCATCTTTTATTTATTATTTTCTTCAATTATGTTTGATAAACTGTTTTATTAAAAATAAAATAAAAAATCAAAATATCACCAACTAACCCACGATCTCTAAATATCAGAGAACTCCTTTTATGTATAAATATTTTCTAAAACTTTTCTTTCCATTTCACAAAACACAAACAAAAAATATGAAAATCATCATACGACAAAAGCTCTTCTCTAAAAATTTTCAAAGAAGTTTTTCTTTCCAACCATACAACTCCAGGTGAATCAAGTTATATATAAGTTTACATTTCTAGAAAATCATTTCGATAAGTTCATCTTCTAAACCCTTTCTTCTTCTTCTTTTTCTCATTGTGTGTTTATTGGTTTTCATACTTAAGAAATTCTTGCGGTGAAGAAGGACAAAGATACTTCAAAGCAAGAGTTTTTAAAGAGGAAGAAGATTTGAAGTTTTTTTAGAGGAAGAACTGAAGAAGAAAGAACAATTAACAAAGGAAGAAGCATGGAGCAAAGGAAGATTGATTATTCATGTGTTTAGACGTGAGAAACCAAAACCCAATTGTAATATATTTTTTTAATAAAGATTTGATT